ATAAGTGCTGTGAGTTCAGGGGTTTGTACGCGTCTTGTGGGCTTCTGTTTTCATATTGAGAATGTTGCATCAAGAGACATTTATAGACGTGTTTATTTATCATGTGTGACTATCTGAGCATCTGGAGCCTTTAGATTCGAGGAGTTTGCAAGTAGGCAACTAAGTCAAGTGATGCTTGTTTTTAGTCATTTGAACAGACACCTGAATCTACACTAAGCTAAAACTTTCAACATTGATAATAATCAAAAATGTTTCTTGAGCAGCAAATCAGCATATTAGAATGATTTATGAAGATCATGTGACTGAAGACTGGAGTAATGATGCTGAAAATACAGATTTTCATCACAGGAATAAATTACATTTTACAATATATTAAAACAGAAAACAGTTATTTTGAATTGTAATAATATTTCACAATTTTTACAGTATTGTATTGATCAAATAAGTGCATACTTGGTGAGTAGAAGAGAGTTTAAAATTGAATTTAAGTTTCATAGTTTGGCCTGTAACTCACTGCATGACTCAAGGAACATGCTCCAGTTTTCACATGATTAGATGAGATCCTTGATTCATTATTACGGTTTGATTCAGTGTTTCGTTTAAGTGCGGCTCAATTAAACCCGTTGATGTGATTCGGGCTCATTATGAGTAAATTCACAGCAGATCTTTGTGCCACCGATGTTTTCCTGGTTGAACTGTTGGAATAACAAAACACTTCTAACAGGATTGGTTTATAGACAGCATGTGAATTACCACAGACAAACAAGTTATAAGAATGGAAATGAACTACACAGACAAGGTTAGTTACAACAAGCTCAAATGTAAAACATGATTCATAAGGGTTTGGTTTAGGGTAGGGTTTGGGTTCGTCTGTCATAATTATAATTAGCTTCAAACAAAAACAACAGAAATCATTTAGAGTGTATAAAAACAAACCTCTTATTTTGTTTATAATAAGTTCTCTTAGTATGTACAGTATAAAAACTGTAATAGATCTAACCTTACATATGTTATTTTACAGTTGTTTTGTAAATATGTTTACATTTTGCTGCATTTTTACAGAATTATTTGGCACCTACAGCTGCCAGTTTTTTTCTGTAAAAACAGGAGTTTTTGCAGCATTGTTAATGCACCTTATATACATTATTTGCTCTTATTTTTCTGTGAAAAGTCAGTCATACCACAGCTTTGTGCGATGAATATTAATTCATCATTCACTGAAGATCTACTTTGATGAAGCTCAAACCAGGTTTAGTTAACTAAAACTATAAAAACATTCAAAGATGGTTTGGTTACTTGAAATAAAATATTTTATCTATCTATCTGTCTGTCTGTCTGTCTATATATATATATATATATATATATATATAAATTCCTTTTTTTTTTTTTTTAAGTTTCAAAGTTTAACTTGGTGTACTAAAATAACTAAAAGTAAAAAATGAAATAATTTTTTTTTTTTTTAAATATGTAGACATAAAAATAGACAAAACAAATGAATCCAAAATATTAATAAAAACTTTAGTAGTATCTCAATAATCCTAAAATAACACTGGCTCAAGCATCATTCTGCATTTGCCATATTCAAACAGGCGCATGCATTTCATTTTGAGGTAATGACATATCAATGTGTTTTTGTTCTTCATATGAATGATTTCAGAGCTTCAGTCTGTTCTTCACACAAAGCTGTTGCATGACTATTGAAGACTGTTGCCATGCTTTTGTCTTTTTTGGACCATGACAGATTCCTCAAAACGAGTTTGGAGCAACACGAGGGTGAATAAATAATGACAGATTTTCATTACTGGATGAGCTATCTCTTTAACTCAGAAAGAGAGGGGCAGAAGCGGAGGAGGAGGAGGATGGTGGGTGACTTCGGCTCCATGTCGGAGTCAGTAGCAGTTTCGAACCGGCCGCTCGTAGCGTGTGAAGAGTGAACAGAAAACACTCGGCATGTGAGGGCAACGGTGTTATCTGATTGATGAGAAAGAGCAAAAGAAAATGAAATTAGATAAAGCAGGTTTTGGCTTGTTTGGTGACTGTCTTTCAGTCAGATAACATGTGACCCCTCATGCACTTACACACTCATCTATATTCAAAATATAACATAACATATATTTTGCTAAAAGACAACAATGATTCCTTTTTTTAGAACCATTTTTGTTCCATTTTGACAAGAAATCAAATTCAGTACACCTGTACTTTGAATTTTACTAATGAAAAACTTTTTTATGTGCTTAATTAACATGGAAAAAAATGTTCTAACAATAGGATTGATTGATTGATTAAAGGAATGTTGATGGAATTAATTTGAAGGAATTTCTGGATTATTATTATTATTTTAACCTGTATTTTGCACTTCATTGAGTTGTATTTTAGAGTTAATAAAATGTCTGTAAAATTAATGGATAATGTCCTGGTAGAAAATTGACAATGTATTTATTTATTTCAGTGTACAGTGTACTTTATTTTATTTTATTTTGGGTTCAAATATGATCTGAACATTTCACATTTTCATAAAATTCACACAAAATGTGTCTGTATGCTGACACCATACATATATGTATTACATCAATTCATATGCTCATATTTTGTATACTGCGTAAAAAGTTTTTTTTTCATAATGCAAATTTTGCCTTTTAACCTGTTCATATATATTGTGTTTATGGTATAGTGTTATTCTGCAAATATAAATAGAAAATATTTTGCATAGAGATATATTTTGCATATAGTTACTGATTCCTATTTGGAAATTCACTATTTTGTTTCTTTTAAGTTAATATTCCCACATCACACTTCCCTAATCTCATCATCCCTGTCCACCTTTCTGTTTTTAATTTAAAAAGTATTTTAAAATTAAATTCAGTACAACTGCACGTGTGCACATGTTGATGTGACGTTAAAGTAAGCTAATTGCTCGATAGCCATAAATAAACAAACAAAACTGACTCTAAAATGTAAAGATTCCAATTAGAACTAAACAGATTTTCCATTCCGATGTCACAGTAGAAACATTCTAATATGCACAAAGAACTTTAGTTCTAAACCATCAATGAACTGATGCTTGATATTGATAAGAAGATTTGAACTAGTAACTGTTGATTTCAGCAGAACCAGCCTCTGTGTGTGTGTGTGCGTGCGTGCGTGTGTGTGTGTGCCGGGGCAAACGGTTGTCCCTCAGGGTAGGAGACGAGCCAGCAGCGCAGAGAGCTTCTCCTTTGTGTTTGTGGACGAGTCCTGAGGCTTCATACACACTGATCTGCTTACCACAGTCATGAGATTTGACCCTTCCATAAACACACTAAAGCTGTTTTACTTTGAATTCAAGGCAGAAAGTCTGAGCTAGCAAATGAATAACATATTCTTCCTTTTTAGGTGAATTATTGCTTTACAAAACAAATAAAGCAATCATAAGCAAAAAGTTAGAAATGTCCAGTTTTCCAGGCCTGAAGATCTTCAAAATTGTAATATTTTTTAATACTTTTGTTTTGTAGAACTTAGGGTTTTTTTTAAATACAGAAATAGAATTTTTATTTATTTTTTAATGTGTAGGCGAATAAAGTTTAAAAAAAGACAACTTTAAAATATTTCATAAATCCTGCATTCACAATTGCTAGC